GGGGGCCCGGCCTTTCGTTCCTTTTCAGCCCCCTCTCCATGCCTTTCGTGCCCGGTGCCCACCTGGCGCCCTCCACTGCCCGGCTCCATGCAAGGCACGGCCTCCTCCCAAGTCCTCCCGGCCCCCGCCCCTGCTCCCGGGCGGATACAGTTTAAGCCCTCTCAGGATATCCTGGCCCGCTCGTCCTTGGCTGACATGATGCGGCGCCTGCCGCCCGCGGCCCCTCCCCGCTGGCTTCGGCGGGGCCTCGCAGACCGTACCCAGGAACCGAGAAGGACGGAGCTGCTGTCGGGCCGCACACCTGAGGCGAGCAGCGGTAGCGGCCAGACTTGAACCCGCCTCTCCCTCCCCTCAGCTCCCCGCTCCTAATCCCTTCTCTTCCTCTAGTCCAGGAGCTCCGCCCCGCCCTGAAACCAATGGCAAGCCAGCCTTGGCGATTGGTGTCGCAATAGCCAATAGCAACGTGCTCAGCGGCTTCGCTCGGGGGACGAAGAGCGTCAGTGGGAAAGGCCCACTCCCAGAGGAGTCCGGGAGAAGGCAGAATTTTTCATTCGTGTTGTTGCCTTAGAGTTTGTCCCTGCCTGAGGGCGGCTTGAGGATCTTCAGAGGTTTGAGGAACCGGCTCCCGTCGCCGGGCATATTTTCTTGCGGTCTGAGACTATGGCAGACTGCTCTGGGCAAGGTGGCAGAGACTATATTTCCCAGCCTCCCAGGGAGTACGCTACTCAGCTCACCACTAGAAACCAGGGACTACAAATCCCAGCGCTAATCTGCGCTCAGTCTTTCTAACTTGGGCTCCGAGTGTGCAACGTAGTGTGCGCAAATTTGGAATCCTTCAGTGGGTTTGTTCTGAATCCTGTAACTTGTATCCGGCGGGAAGGTCCTTGGTCTTCCCGGGGACACGACAGCCCACGACAGTTAACTTCTGTACATGGAACTCAGAGTCTGCAAACCATGGTAAGATCTGCAAACAACTTTCCGCCCAAAACCACGGATTAAGACTTGAAAAGAATAAATTAAAATGACTTCCTCAAATAAGTACTGGTTTATTAGTCTGGGGTGCAGCCAGACGTGTTTTGCAGGTTTATGTTGTGTTTCAACCGGACTGGGAGAGCTAAGGATTGTGCGACTCAATGTCAGTATAGGAAGACTTAGAAGAATCTGCCAGCCCCAATCACTTTTTACCTCAGTTTTTAAATAGGGAAATTGAGGACCGGGAGGAGGCAGAGAGACTGGCTACAGATCACAACAGGTTGAGACAGTTATAATTGGTTTTAGAGGTCTACTGATCTGCAGTATACTCGCTTTGCACTACCCAGCTAGGGAGAGCAAGTATTTTTAGCATCATGGGGAATGTATTGTTTTTCCCTTAATGAATGGTTTTCCCTAAGTAGCATTCGACACACCTAGAGAATAGGTATGCTTTATTTGGTGGATTACCTGGGAACGGAGCTATGGTATGATAGTGTGATATCCTCGTCCAGATAGGTCCTTTTGTTTTTGATTTTGCTTTTTTTTTTTCATTTCAAGTTGACAACTTAAGGTGATTTTCCAGAGGCAAGTAGGTTAAAGTTAATTTTAATCTCTGTTTCTTTAAAGATGAGCTATGTCCTTTCCTAGGCCTGCCCTATTTTCTGTTCCCACTATACCCATTTTGAAGCCATTTTTTTTCCTTTTACGATTCATCAACCTCCCCCCTTTGGTGGTTGAGGTACTGGTTAAGCGAAGATATGTCACTGTCATCTGGAAGATACCCTAACTGTTCAGGGAGATGAAAAGATTCAAGGTGGAGCTAATAAATGGCATAGGGTGAAAGACATGAGGATGCCGTAGAGGTTACTTCTGGACCTTGGTGAAGATCAAGTGGAGGAAAAATGACCTTTAAAAGATGCTGATGAAGTTGATTATAACAGCTATTAAAATTTCATGGTGGAAGTGGCATTTTAACTTAAAAGCAAGCTGTGTCTTCAACCTGTGGGTCATGACCCCTTAAGCAACCTATTTCCAAAATACATTGCGCTTATAAAAAAAGCTTTATAAAAAATGTAGTTATGAAATAGCAATGAAAATAAAGGTATGGCTGGGTGTCACTACAGCATGAACTGCATTAATAGGTTGAAGCATTAGGCAGGTTGAGAAGTACTGACTTAAAGGATGAGGATTTTTCCCCTCATGATAGTTTTTTTTTTTTTTTATGCTGAGCTTTGTTACTGAGATAAGTCATACATTCAGTGAGAGAAGATATAAACCCATTAGTACCACCTAAATCCAGATGTAGAACGTTTCCAGCACTCATTATGCCCCTTTCTAATCAGTATTACATCCTCATATCTGGAGATAATCAACCACTCTCCTGGTTTTATGGGCTCTTAGATATTTTGTCTGTATTTGAATTTGTATGTAGATCTTTATATGTCTGGCTTTCTTGTTAATCTGTATTTTTGTGTTTGTACCATTTTTTTCCAGTTGGTAGGTTGTATGTATAAATTACAGAGTTTGCCTTTTCTAAAATTGATGGACATCTGCATTTTATCATTGCCAGGGAATACTTTCTGAAGTGAGTGTTCTGTTTGCTTCCTTTTTGTGGACATGTTGCATATATTTTAGGAAAAACGTTGTTAACCCTTGTAGATATTTGAGCGGTCCGTGGGTAATAGATATCGACAGTTTTCCAAAGTGATTGAGAACTGAGGCTTTCACCCACTATGTAGGAAACTTCTAGTTGGTGTTCATTCTGGTTGACACTGGGTGTTTGCCATAAGTCTTAATTTTAGCCACTCTGACTAAATGTGGTATTTCATTAAAGTGTGCATTTCTATTTTTCTGATGCTGACTACCTTAACTGCCTATTTGAATAGTCTTTCTGCCAAGTGCCTAAGGCTTTGCCCACTTCTGAATTAGACATTTTTGTCTTTCCACTGATTTTAATTCTTGTGTAGTCTTACAGATTTCTTTTTGTGACATATGACTTTACAAATATCTTTTCCAGAGTCTGTGGCACTGACTTCATTTTCTTATTAATGTTTTTAAATATAAATTATCTCTTGCATTGTCATATCAGTGTTAGGGATTGAACCCTAGAGACCTTGCCTATGCTAGGCAAGAGCTTTATTACTCACCTACATTCTGTCCTCAGTACGGATTTAAAACAATGTTTAGATTTATTTTAGCTTATGTGTGGGCTGGAGAGATGGCTCAGCCATTGAAGTCTAGGCTCCAGAGCCAAAAATTATTTATTTTTATGTATATGAGTGTTTTGCTAGCAAGTATGTATATGCCCCATACATGTGCTTGGTCTCCTGGAGGTCAGAAGAGGGTGTCTGATCCCTTTGGAACTGGGAGTTGATGAGGATGCTTTCTTGCAAACTGTCATGTGTGTGGGGAACTGAAATTGAGTATTCTACAAGAGCACTGGAAAGCTCTTAACTACTGCACGATCTCCCAGTCCCATTTTTTTTTGGCAGAAAGAAAGAGGTTATTCAGTACATTTGTAGAGAACAGAAGGCCGGGCAATAACTATAGTACTGCCTATAGTTAGAAATGACTAATTTAATATAATAGAATAAGTTTTTTTTTTTAAAAAAGACTGCTCTTTTCTTTGACGTTAAGAAACACTGAGTATATGGTTAATAGAATTCTAATAGGAAAATATGAGAGGAAGAACATTGTAAAAATAATAATAACAAAATGAGACTGAGAGAAGGGGCATTAGAGAGGTCTGCCTGCCTCCTGCCTTCTGAATACTGGGATTAAAGCCATGCTCCACATGCCTGACTTCTTCCATATTTTAACCACAAACAAAACCAATCAACCAACCAACCAACCAACCAAACAAACCAAACAACCCCTTCCCCCAAATCTAGTTTTTCTCTCCCAATCCTATTCTTTTCTATGCTTTCAATCTTTCTCATGGCACTTCATAGAACACGACGTTTTGAGGGCAGTACCTCGTCTTTGTCATAATAAAACCTGTAATCCCTGCTAGAGCACAGCAGATATTTGAAGTTCTTTATGTGTGCATGCTTTGCCTACATGTATGAATGTGTACTGTGTGCATGTCTAGTGTCCATAAGAGACCAGAAAGAGGGCGTTGGATTTCTCTGGATCTGGGTGGGCTTCCTGGTGGGTGTAAGCTCCCATGTGGTGTAAGCTCTTATATAGGTGCTGAGAACCCCACCTGAATCTTCTGCAGCAGCAAAAGCTCTTAACCACTAAACCATCTCTCCAGTCTTACATATGCTTATCAGAATAGAGGTTAAGAATATTGTCTTTCGTTTCGTGAGGCTGGATTCCAACATTGCCACTTACTGACTTGAACTGTTGACCTTAGCATACCGGAAAATGAGACTGTTTTATACACGTCATAGTTTTATGAGAACCTGGCAAGATAAATATGGACATGTGTCAAATAGAAAAAAAAATTAGTTCAATAAATAGTGTATCAGAACGCCAGGGTAGCCGCAGTTGCTTGAAGGCTCACCTGTAAAGAAAGTTTAGCCAAAGGGGTGCTTTTTGGCTCGGGGTGGTGATGATGACAGCTACTATATAAGCCCTAGGCCACATTTCTTCTCCTCAGACTCTTTGTTTTACTTGCCTTTCCTTCCAATTCTGGGGCCGCAGCTGGGCAGGGACCCTCTTCTCCAGCCTCAGCCTCATCCTTGGTGGGAGATTGTGAAAGCCGAGCGGGAACATTGTGTAGGCGGAACTCGAATGCAGCGGTGGGAGGCTTCCGGGGGAACAGCACCGGTGACGGGTCGGCGGAGACAGAAAAGCGCCGGACGCCCGGCTGATCATGGAAGCTTGACAACCTGCTGGCAGGCTCTGGGAGGCCGAGACATCGGCAGAAGGGACGGAGAGTCGGCGCGGACAGGTAGGGGGACGGCAAGAGGGCAGGCTCTGCTGGTCTTGGCTGGACCTCCCAGCTTCCTTCCCGCAGGCTTTGCCAAGAAAGCCGATAGCCACTCCGCCCCGCCCCGTGCAGGACGCCGGGAGGGTCCTCTCTGTGTGCTGGTGGCTAGGAGCAAACCCACTGGTACTGACGTCCACTCTAGCTTGTGACTGTCATCTTCCACGCGGTAGCTGCCCTCGATGCGCCCCTTCTCGTAGAGGCTGTTTCCTTTGACCCTTTTTGGTGCTTCAGAATAGCGTCTTCCCGAGACGGGAATTTATCTCCACTCGGTCCCTATCCGCCTCCTCGAGGAGCCTCCCACTTCAGAAGAAAAACATCGATCACCATCTTATTCCGTCCACGGTATCCGCACAGACTCTGCTTTTGAGATTGAGATCCTTTAGAGGGCACCCACGTTTCTCCCCATCCCAAACTCCTTTCCTACTGTGCGCCTTCCACTTAGTCTCTTGGCTGAGAGTCCCATCAGTCTTTTCAGTTGTGTCTGCTTGGGGGTGGGGCGAGGGCGGGGCGGACCAGGTTTTGTTCTCATTTTCTTACGTAGTCGTCTTCTCTCCTGTCTTCCTCTCCTCCCATTAGCGTTTTCTTCTTCCATTCCTCAGCTTTCCTATTTTCTTCTCAGAACTCTTTGTTTTCTAGCACTTCGGTTTTTCTGTTTCTCACAGGATCTTCTTAAGTAACCCTAAGTGAGGCAACGTACTTTTCCCAATGTCCTGAAAGGGTTCTTCTTTGACTTTTTTGCATCGTTCACACACACCCACTTTCTTTTATTTTGTCACACTCTTCAGTGTGTATCATTTCTGGAAAACAAATCTCATGTGGGATTCTTCTAGAGTCCATACACACAGAGATATATTTATATTACACAATTGATGAATTCTTCTGAACCTAATATCTTCACCATGACAATACAATATCTGCTTTGGAGGTTGAAGAGATGGCTCAGTTGTTAAGAGCACTGTCTGGCCAGGCAGTGGTGGCGCACACCTTTAATCCCAGCACTCGGGAGGCTGAGGCAGGCGGATCTCTGAGTTCCAGGCGGGTCTGGTCGAGTTCCAGGATAGCCAGGGCTACCCAGAGAAATCCTGTCTTGGGGGAAAAAAAAAAGAATACTGGCTGCTTTTCCAAAGGACCTGAGTTTGATTCCCAACACACACATGATGGCCTCACAACATCTGTTAACTCCAGTCTTTGGGGATCTGATACCCTCTTCTGGCTTCTGTGGACCAGACACAGAACATGGTATGCACATTCTTATGTGCAGACAAAATGCTTTTGTAGCTAAAATAAAATAAATTAATTAAAAACAATATCTGCATTGTTCTTCATATTCTGTTATTAAAATTTTGTACAAGTTCTGGAGTCATGTTTCTTAAAATGTCTTTATTGGGCTGGAGAGGTGGCTCAATCATTAAAGGCTAGCCTCACAACCAAAAAATGTCTGTGTGTCCCCAGGAGGCCAAAAAGATGCATTTTCTGACTTAAACAATGTATTTTCTAGATTTGAATTGTCCTTTTTTTCCTCCTTCCTTTCTCCCTCCTTCCCTCCCCTCCCTTTTTCCTTCTTTGAGACAATGTTTCTCTGTGTAACAGCCCTGGATGTCCTAGAACTCACACTGTAGACCAGGCTGGCCTCGAACTCAGAGAGACCCGACTGCCTCTGCCTCCCGAGTGCTGGGATTAAAGGTGTACACCACTACCGACCAGTTAGATCTGAATTATCATTGTTTAATTTTGTAATTATTTTCCCATTTTCCCATGTTGAAATGACTTTTTCCCCATTGCTGTGCAACCCAGTGCCTTGTATTGTGGTAGAATATTATTTTAAGATGTGTTACTTTTGTTTATGTTGTGGAACATTTAATGATGTAAAGATGTGTTTCTTTTGCTTATGCTGCATTTGTTTAACTCTGTGAAGCCGTGTTAGACCTGATGGTCTAATAAAGAACTGAATGGCCAATAGTAAGGCAGGAGAAAGAATAGGTGGGGCTGGCAGGCAGAAAGAATATATAGAAGGAGAAATAAGGGAGGAGAAAAGAAGTAGCAAGAGGAGGGGGAGGACGCCAGGACCCAGCCACCTAGCAAGCCACAGAGTAGAGAAACACAGGGAAGGCATACAGATTTAGGAAAGGAAAAGCCCAGAGGCAAAAGATAGATTGAATAATTTAAATTTAAGAAAAACTGGCAAGAAACAAGCCAACTTAAGGCCAGACATTTATAAAACTCTCACTCTCTGTCTCTCTCTCTCTGTGTCCAGTTTGGGGCCTGAGGGGATGGCCCCCAAAAAGCAAATAGTAAGATCAAAGAATTAAAAAAAAATTGTACCGTATGTTAAATATTGATTTAATGTGGAGCCCTTAAAATGAGGTTTTTGAGTAAATCAAGTGTGGCTCTTGTCTTCTTGTTTCTGATACGTGCCTAGCTGTAGGTGGGATTCTTTTTTTTTTTTATAAGGCCATTTTTTTATTTTAAGATTTATCATTTATTATGTATACAGTGTTCTGCTTGCATGTACTCCTACACACCAGAAGGCCATCATTACACATCAATACCATGTGGTTGCTGGGAATTGAACTCAGGACCTCTGGAGGAGCAGCCAGTGTTCTTAACCTCTGAGCCATCTCCCCAGCCAGGGATTCTTTTTTTTTTTTTTTTTTTTTCTTTTTTTCTGTTTAAATTTATGTGCATTGGTGGGAGGGTGTCAGATTCCCTGGAACTGATTTACAGACAGATGTGAGCTGCCATGTGGATGCTGGGAATTGAACCCAGGTCCAATGGAAGGGCAGCTAGTGCTCTTAACCACAGAGCCATCTCTCTAGCCCCTGTAGGTGGAATTCTAATGACACAAAAATTGTCTCTGTGCATGGGCAGTATTCTTTGACTCTTAACCAGAGCCTAGAAATGAGATAGATACAAAACACATATAAAGAAACTCCTCAGTGTCCTGGTCAGCTTTACAGACTTAGAAGGTGATGCTTCTGAGGGGACAAGTAGGAAAGTATCTTTCAGAAGGTGTGTTTCAGAACAGCTTCAGGATTGAGGACAAAATATCTCTAATGCCAGTGTGGTGAAGTATGCCCATTTCATGAAGTAGTTATTGTATCTAGATTCAGGGGGCTGTTTATGAAACTAAAGTGTTCTTGTGTCTGATCCAGCATTAAAATCATACTTTGGACAGGAGAAGGTGGTAGAATGACTGACCCATTTTCCTTTTGGACAGATCTCAAGACCAGAGAATGGCAGGTGAACAGAAACCCTCAAGCAACCTCCTGGAGCAATTTATTTTATTAGCCAAAGGTACCAGTGGCTCAGCCCTCACCACTCTCATAAGCCAGGTGCTGGAGGCTCCTGGAGTATATGTGTTTGGAGAATTGCTGGAGTTGGCCAATGTTCAGGAGGTAAGAATAGTTTTCAGTGTTTGTCTTCTCTATGCTGTACTTTTCTGATTCTCCAGGTTTCCAGCCAATTTTAGCATCAAACCTTGTGGACTTGTTTGGTGTTCATTGGAATTGGTGGGGAGATTAAGGGTAAGGTATTTTAGTTCTTTTATCCAGTGTTCCCTTAAACTTGGATAGTAAGAAAGTGTGAATGTCTTGACACAAGTGGTGTTGTTGCAGTCGGTTGGAGAGATGGCTCAGTGGTTAAGGGCACTGGCTGCTCTTCCAGAAGACCCAGATTCAATTCCCAGCACTGACCTGGCAGCTCACAAATGCCCCGTAAGTCTAGGGGGTCTAATACCCTCACACAGATATACATGCAGGCAAAACACTAATGCACATAAAAAATGAAATAATACAAAGAAAGAAAGAAAGAAGTTGGCAACTGAAATAGCAGGAGAGATTAGAATGATCGGAGGTCTCCAGGTTGTGAAACTGATGATGGATGTTGGGGCTGGAACTAAATTGATAAGGGACCACTTTTCATAGAAGGTAACATTGGGGGGGAAAAAAAGCCAGGCTGAGGTGGTGCACGCCTTTAATCCCAGCACTCAGGAGGCAGAGGCACTTGGATCTCTGTTCTTTGTGAGTTCAAGGCCAACCTGGTCTACAGAGCAAGTTCAAGGACAGGGTCTAAAGCTACACAGAGAAACCCTGTCTGGTAAAAATAAAAACAAAACAAAAACAATAACAAACAAAACAATTTGTGCTTCTCACTTTAGATATGAGTTGTTTTTGTTTTTTTGTTTTGTTTTGTTTCTTTTTGTTTTGTTTGGATGCAGCTGGACGTAGCTCCTGGTGTTCTTGGTGGTAGTAGTCTGCATATAGGATGTGATGGCATTAGTTAGGTAGTTTACCTTCATGGCCCACCGTGACACTGTTGCCATCTATTGTCAGCTTTATTGTCAGAACCAATTGTAACCTGAGATGTGGGCTTTCAGGTTATTGGGAGCTCAGTACTATTTGTCTGCCTATTTCTCTTGATTGGGAAACTAGAGTTAATGTGACTACCTCACACATGACTCTTCCTCCTATGATGACCAGAGATGGGAATGGAGCCACTGTTGTCATTTAAGAAAAGCAGCATGTGAGAGAAAGATGCCATGAGACAGGGTTTAAGCAGAGGGTTTGTTTTTTATTATTAGGGAAAGGGGTCATAAGAAGGGTAAAGGGGAGGGAGACTGGCCTCCAGGGACAGGAGCAGTAGGAGAGAGTAGAACAGAGAGAAGGAGAAAGAGAGAGGATGGGAGGTGGGCAGGACCCTTTTAAAAGGAAACATAGTGAATGTGCACAGGTGGTGCTTAGTGTCTGCAGCTGAGGGCGTATCCTGCCAGAACCCCAAGGACAGGCCAGTACAGATGCCTGAATACTAACAGCCACTTAATTTTAATTTCTTTCCTTTCCTTTTTTTCCTCTTTCCTTTTTCCTCTTTCCTTTTTCCCCTTTCCCTTTCCCCCTTTTCCTTTTCCTCTTTCCCTTTTCCCCTCCTTTTCCCTTTCCTTCCTTTCCCCTTTCCCTTCCTTTCCCCTTCCCTTCCTTTCCCCTTCCCCCTTCCTTTCCCCTTTCCTCTTCCCCTTCCCTTTCCCTTTCCCTTTCCCCTTCCCTTTCCTTCCCTTCCCTTCCCTTTCCTTACAGGATCTTGTTTGTGTTGTGGCCTTAAACTTAGCTGAAGATGAGTTGAACTTCCAGTCCTTCTGTTCTGGGATCATAGGCGTGTATAACCACATATGGTTTTATTTAGTGCTGAGGATTGAACCTAGGGCTTCATGCTTGCATGGTAGGCAATCACTGTTCCAATGAGCCACATTACCAGCCAAACTGACTTTTATTTTGTAAATTGTAAGGGTGTTTTGTTTGGTTAGTTTTTGTTTTTTTCAAGACAGAGTTTCTCAATGAAGTCCTGGTTGTCCTGTAGACCAGGCTGGCCTTGAACTCACAGAGATCTGCCTGCCTCTGCCCCCTGAGTGCTGGGATTAAAGGCTTGCACCAGCATTGCCCAGCTCAATTGTAAATTTTTATTTAACTCTTCCTTGTTATACTTTTGTTCTGGGAGGGTAAAGTCTTTTGTGCTCACCATTGCTTGCTTGGGCTTAGTATGTAGCCTGACATATAGTAGACTTTCAGTAAAGATTTGATCAATAATTCTCTGAGGATGATTTGGGAATTAGGCTTTTTTTTTTTTTTTTTTTTTTTTTTTTTTAATTTGAGACTGACTCTCATGTTTCCTAGGCTGGCCTTGAACCTGTTCCTCCTGCTTCCACCTACCATGTGCTGGGATTACATGAGAGTGCTACTGTGCTTGGCTAGACTCATTTTTCAATAGAAAAGCTGATCAGCTGTAGTGTGTTTCTTCAGATACATGAAAAACCTGAGTGAACATGCCAAGCAATTGTTTTTTTGACTGTTGAAAACTGGCTAAGAAGAAATGATGAACAAACAAGCTGGCAAGACTTAGCCAGTCAGAGAAGTTTTGGAGTATCTGCCTTAGAGAAAATAGTCTATTCCAGCTAGCTTTGAAAAGTAGGGATTGGATTCAGGGTTTTTACTGAATCTCTTCTGTTCTGACCCTGAGACTTGAGGACGTTTATGGTGACTTGAAAGAGCATCTTGAGGTTTATAAGGATGTTAGCACTCACACTGGTGCTTACTGGGGCTTAGCAAATCACCTTTATCTGCCTACTGTTTCTGTTGTTCCCGTTTTGAGCCAGGGATAAGCTAATTGCTTTTCAGCATTCTGAAATTGTGGATGCAATTACTGGAACTCTTTTTCAGATAGTTACAATGAATAGTGTTGTTCTTGTGTTGCTTCATGGACTTTGGTGAGTTGGAAGAGGTGGTGTGTATGTTACTGAGGATTGAACCTACAATATTCTACATGCTAAGCAGGTACTCTGCTACTGAACTATGTGCAAGCCTTCCTTTTACTTTATTTTGAGTCAGAGTTTTGCTAAGTTTCCCAACCCTGTAGTTCAGGCTGGCTTTGAGCTTGTGATCTCTTTCCTTTAGCTTTACAAGTAGCAGAGATTACAGGCCTGTGAGACTCAACTGCTCTTTGCATTTTCCCTGTGGATGTCATTTTGCCACCAACATAAGTGAAATAAATTAATGAACATTTTTATTTGACTCAGGGAAATAACTCTGTTTCAGTATAGCCTTTCTGTCACACCTTACTTACACTGTGTTAATATTGCCAGGGTTCATAGTTCATATTTAGTGATGAAACTTGGAACTAGCCATAGAGTTTGTTAAGATTTGATTGACAGTGGTATCACAGTACTAAGTTGGGGGCTGGCAAGATGGCTCAGTAGGTAAAGGTGCCACATAAATCTGATGACTTGAGTTTAATCTCAGAACCTTCATAAAAGTGGGAGGACAAAGTGGACTCCACAAAAGTTGTCCTGTGATTGTACACATGTGCACTGCATACATGACCACACATATACATCTTATGCACATCATACGCAGCAACAATAAAACAAACAAAAAGGATACCAAGTTGGTATGTAAACAGGTTCACCACACTCTTGTTTGTCCATTTGAGACACAAGTTCTCATTTTTAAGTCATCTAGGCTGGCTTTGAACTCAGTAGGTAGCTGAGAATGATGTTGAACTCCTGGTACTGCTGTGTCCACCTGTGAGGAATTACAGGCATGTGCTATGCAGTATGTATTGAACCTAGCTCCATATGCATGTTAGGCAAGACTCTCTCAGCCTTCAGTATTGTTTTTAAGGCAGGGAAGATCCTGAGAAGACTTGAACTGCTTCTAGTGCATGAAGCTTTGTGGTGGGAGTGGCTGGCATAGGTGCAGGGAGAAAGGGAAGAAGCTACATGAGCAACTTCTGTGTTGGTGCAAAATGTCTTCCTGAGGAAGGAAGAAGAGTCACTTTTGGACTTAAATACTCTTGTTTAGTTTTTCTCCCTACCTAATCAAATAGTACAGAAGAAATGGCCATGATATCTTTGGCATTTGGTCACATGTCTTCTATTAGGATATTGTAGTGATGAGTGGAAATTTGTTGTGTGGTAAACTTTTCTTTTCCTTCCCTCAGCTTGCAGAAGGAGCTAATGCGGCATATTTGCAGTTGCTGAACCTGTTTGCCTATGGAACGTACCCAGATTACATAGGTGAGTTGGTTAAGATCCTTCAGAAGATTTTAAGATTGTCTTAATTGTTGAGCTGTTTGTAGGGTAGTTAAGGTTTGAGTTATAATGTGTGGGTGTGGGCAGAGTAGGTAGGTCTAATTATTGACTTGACTGTGTCTCTGTTTTCTGTGTTTTGAAGGTAACTTCACAAAAGGATTTCCCTGATAACCTTTTAATTTTCTAGGCATAAAATGGGGGTTATGTGTGTGTGCATCTATGAACAGAGCCCTTTTTTATTTTCTAGATCAGTGTCTTGAGAACTAGTGTTTGTGGGGCACCCAACCAGCAAAATAATCCAGTGGTTTATTTTATTTTTTGAGACCTCTTACTCTTACATCTTACTATGTAGCCCTGACTGGCACAGAACTCACTACACGGAACAGGCTGGCTTTGAACTGTACAGAGATACACCTAACTCTGCCTCTTGAGTGAGGAAACTAAAGGCATACTTCATCATACCTGGCAGTCCAGGGTTTTAAATGTCATCAAGTTTTTTGAGAGGTGCTGGTGAGATAGCTCACCCGGTAAAGGCACTCCATACGAAGCCTGACTGACTAATGCCTTGAGTTCAATCTCTGGGACCCACATGGTAGAAAGAACTGACCCCTGCAGGTTGTCCTCTGACCTCTACAATGCACACTTGTGGTATGTGCATACAAGCACGCACACACACACACATACACACACACAAACATACATACACATTTTAAAAAAAAATTCTTGTTATGCTTTCTTTGTTGAGATAGGGTTATGTATAACATAGGATGGTCTTGACCTCAAAACTTTCCTGCTTTATTCTCTTGAGTGCTGAGATTATAAGGATGAACTACCATGCCAAACTTGAATGTTACCAAAATAAGATTACTATATTGTAGAAAATTTGGAAAATAATAAAACAATATATACCATGAAGTTACCATTAGCATTATGATGCTAGGTGTTTATTTTTTTTCCCCTTTTGCTTGTTTCGTGTTATATAGGTGTAATTAGACTATGTATGCAGCCTTTCCCAGGTCTTTGCCCAATCCATATTTAAGGTATTTGATTTTTTTTTTTTTTTAAGTCTGAGTCTTGCTGACTTCAAACTCTGGATTCTTCTGCCTTAGCCTCCCAATTTCTCATTTTACATATGTGCTATCATCTCTTCATTCATTTTTACTGTCTCATAGGAAACCACTATTCCACTGAGCTACATTCCTAGCCCATTTGGATGTTTTTATTTTAATTTACTTATTTTTTTTTGTTAAAATTTTTATACAACATATTTTAATCATATTCTTTGCCTTCCAACTCCTCCTAGATCCTCACTACCTCCCTATCCACTCAACTTCATGTTTTTTTCCTCTCTATCTCTCTCAAAAAGAAAAAAACAAAAATAAAAACCAACATAAAAACAAAAAACAATAAGATAAAAAAATAAGACAAAGCAAAGCAAAAAGCTTAAAAAAAAAAAAAACCATGGAGTCCATTTTGTGTTGCCTCCCTACTTCTGGGTTTGGAATCTGCCCTGGAGTACGGTTGGTATATTCAGTGACAGACCATTGGAGAAAACTCATTTTCCCCTTTCCCAGCAGGCATCAGTTACTTAGGTGTGAGCCCTTGTGTCTGTTTTCCCTCTCAGTATTGGATTTCATCTGGTTTGAACCTGTGCAGATTTTGTGTCGGTCTTTGTAAGTTCATATGCACATCAGTCATGTTCTGTCTGGATGATAGCATTTCCTTGGAGTAGTCTACCACTTCTGACTCTGAAAGTCTTTCCACCTCCTCTTCTGCATAGATCCCTGTACCTTGATGGGGGAAGAGTCTGATGCAGACAACCCCTTTGGGACAAGTGCTTTCAAGTCTCTCTCCCTTTGCACATTGTCCAACTGTGGGTCTCTGTGTTAATTACCATCTATTGCAAGAAGAAGCTTCTCTGATAGGGCACTTGAATGGTTTTATTATAATCATAAATCGGGAGTGGACTGGCAAGATGTTTCAGTAGATGATAGCACTTGCTGTGCAAGGCTGACAACTTCTGTTCAACCCTGACTCTGGAAAGTTGTTCTCTCATCTCCACATGCACATTGTAGCATGGATGTGCTCACACATACACATCATACACACCCACACAATAATAGTAAATAAAATATTAAGAAACATTAAATAATTGGGAGTGAGGTACTTGCATATCCAAATGTTACCTTTATTCCTAATTACCTTTTTTTCCTGTCTTTCTTAGTTTTCCTTTCCTTTCATCTCCTCTTCTTCCCCTCTCCTGGGCAGAGAGAGTATGAAAGTAGCCTGCTATTCAAGAGACCCTCTCCTGTCTCTTTGGCATTCCTTCCTTTCTCATTGACCACTTCTGCTTACTCTGTGTTGCTGTCTGGTTGAAGAGTGTGCTGCTTCTGGGTACATGACATTTCTCTGACCTGTTCTTTGTTCTGACGAGTATATTTTCTCACTGTCTAAGGAGGCAGCATTGCACAGATTCTGGAGCCAGACTGCCTGCATTCGATTCTAGCTCCACTTCTACTAGTTGTGTGTCTTTTAGTCGATTAAATGATCTCAATTTCCCTACCTGTAAAATGAGTAATTTTGTCTTTTTTTTTTTTTTAAATTTATTTATTTATTATGTATATAGTGTTCTCCTACAGATCAGAAGAGGAGGGCATCAGATCTACTTATGGATGGTTGTGAGCCAACATGTGGTTTCTGGTAATTGAACTCAGGACCTCTGGAAGAGCAGCCAGTACTCTTAACCACTGAGCCATCTCTCCATCCCCTTGCTTTATTTTTCAAGGCAGGGTTTCTTTGTGTAGCTCTGATTGCCCTGGAATTTGTTCTGTAGACCAGGCTGGCCTTAAATTCACAGAGATCCACCTGCCTCTGACTGGAATTAAAGGCATGTCATTCCATGTCCCATGTTCCCTGTCCATCTGTCCTTCCCAGCTGATGGTGCACACCTTTAATCCCTGCATTCAGGAGGCAGAGGCAGGTGGATCTCTGAGTTCAAGTCTAGCCTGGTCTATGGAGTGAGTTACAAGATAGCCAGGACTACATGAAGAAACCCTGTCTCCAAAAACCAAAAGCCAAACAAAACAAAACTCAATGTCTTGGAATCCAGAATTATGGTTGTGGAGTGGCTATGAGGATGAGCTGCATGTGCACATGCATGAATGGATCTGGGCATGCACTGTATGCCATGTGACCATGGTGACTGTCATGTGTAGCTGCAACTATGACCATTAATGTAATTACTAAAATTTTGTTCATCCCTCAAGGTCCATGAAACCTTTTTGTTTTTGTTTTTGTTTTTTTTTTTTTTTGTACCTGCCAAATGAAATTTGTTTGTTCTTTCTCTGTCTCCTTTTTTCTTTTCTTCTTTTAGTTAGCCTCTGTGCCTTCTCTGCCCTCTACCTATCTCTTCTGGTAGTTTTAACTTTGCATTTGTAGCTATTGCAACATCCGATTGTAAGACTGAGGCTGGACATGGTGGCTTACATCTGTAATCCCAGCACTTAAAGGCAGAGGCAAAAGCAGGTGGATCAGGAATTCAAGGTTATCCTTGACTACATAATGAGTGTCAGGTCAGCCTATGTTACATAAAACCCTGTCTCAACTCCTTTTTCCTCAACAACAACAATGATCTACAATAAAACAAAACAAATCTAAGGGTTATGAGTTATGCCACTCCACATAGTTGTGGTGCAGCCCCGGACAAAGCCCTGAGTCTTATTCTTCCTTGATTCCCCGATTCGCTGTAAGACATATGTGCATTGCACATAACATGCTCAATGAAGGTCTGTTGAACTTAATTGAGCTTCACAAGGGGCACCAACAGTCTTCCATTAAGATAGCTCATCATGTCATTTTATTTGTTCATATCTGGCTTTCATACTAAACGCCTGTGTAGAGACTGAGTCTTTGCTCTCTGGGAGCGTATGATCTCCCAGAGAAGGTAGGGGCTGCCGAGTGAGTGTCTGTGAGTGAGTGAGTGAGTGCACAGTCATGGCAGTGACCTAGTAGTAGATTTGGTGGTGGTGGTGGTGTGGGTTGATGAGCTTATCATAAAAGTAAGTCCTAATTTTATTTTGTATATTGATTTTTGTGGTGGGTGGGACTGAGCAGCCAACAAGGAGAGCCTGCCAGAACTGAGTGCAGCTCAGCAGAACAAGCTGAAACATCTTACCATCGTGAGTTTGGCATCAAGAATGAAGGTATTGTCCCAAACTTTCCTTGTCTTATCTGAACCCCAGCTCAGGTATCTTATTGAAATCAATGAAAGAACCTGCAGCTAGTCATATCCTAAATGTATGAAATGTACTTGGCAGATAAAAAGGTAACAACTAGGGACTGGTGAGATGGCTCTGTGGTTAAGAGCACTGACTGCTCTTCCAGAGGTCCTGAGTTCAATTCCCAGCAACCACATGATGCTTCATAACCATCTGTAATGAGATCTGGTGCCCTCTTCTGGCCTACAGGGATTCATACAGACAGAACAGTGTATACATAACAAATAAATAAATATTAAAAAAAATAACTAAGATTTGTGGACGTTCACGCCTCATTCTGTTTTGGAAAAGCAAACCCAACATTCATTGATTGATTCATCAGGTCTCTGTTCTGGCATGCGATGGGTTTCATGCAGGTAAAGCACTTTGCCAGATTAGCAGGAGCCCACAGCTTGCCTGCTTTCAAAAGATAAATCTATAGCAAGTATCTTTTTTTGACTGTTCTTATTAATGGGCTACCCACTCTCTCACTGTGTGGTCCAGGCTATCCTCATTATATAGCACAGGTTGACCATACAATCATGGCAATCTTCCTGCCTCAGCCTCACATGTGATGGGTTACAGGTGTGTCACACCATGCCAGTCCTTAGTAAGCCTTCTTATAGCAAGTTAACAACTTCTTGAATTTCCTAGTGTGCTAAATTCATTGCACTCATGCTAAAGGAAAGGCTTGCTATGTTTGGCTAAGTAGATTTTTACTTATTTTGTGATACTGAGGTTGAACTCAAGGATTGTGCAAGTACTTAGGCAAGTACTTTTTATTACTGAGCCACAACCACTAGTCCAGTCCTTTTTTCTTTTGAGACAGGGTTTTACTGTGTAGCCCTGACTGTTCTGGAATTTGTTCTGTAAACCCGGCTGGCCTCGAACTCAAGAGATCCACTTGCCTCTGCCTCCTGAGTGCTTGGATTAAAAGTGTGTACCTGCCTAGCAAGGTAGATATCTATTCTGTTTTTCTTTGGGATTGTCAGGGTAAACTGCATTAATTGGATTTTTTTTTTTCTTGCCTTATGTACTAAATTTATTTTTATTTATTTAGTTTTCATATGCCAGCGTTAGGCCCTATGCTTTCAAATTCCACCACACCATAGCTGCAGGTTTTCTGCCTCAGCCAATTTAGAAGAAACCTTGCAGCCAGTATGTTGCAGCTTTTAACAGAGAAGGGCCAGACTCTATTAGTTTATAGTTGGTTTTGGCTTACCTCTTCCTTACCTGTGTCTGTCTCTGTGAGAATATGCCTTTGACAAGGTGTCTTTTTCTCCTTTATGATCAAGAGCTGTGTGTTTGTTCCTAGATTGTCTTTTCCTTGTTAAAATAATTGTATCTGATCTAATCATGGATTTCTGGTTGTCAGCCTAGTATTTTGGGTGGGGAGGCTCCTCCTGCCTTTTCGTCCTTTCCTCCCTCTCTCGTTCTAGAGATTAACTCGGGAATTGGAACTCCGTGCCTTGAGCATGTTTGTCTTGTGCTCTACCGCTGGGCCACACTTGTGGCCTAGCCTGCCCTATTTTCTTGGTGGATGGGGGCGCAAGTACCTTCTTTCCTGATCATGGGCTTCCAAGCATGCTAACCAGTAGGAAGACCAGTTTCTTCTTTTGAAGCCTTCATTTGATACCCATCCACCATCCCTAGAGAGTGTGCTTTAGTCCATAAAAAAACCCTCTAGGTATGCTTGCTGTGTTTCTACTTATTTAATCATTTTATTTCTAAACTAGTTCTGATATCTCAGTATTTAGATACTGTTTTTTTTTTTTCCTTTGTGTGAAGGGCTGTTATTGGAGAGTTGATATTGGTTGCAAGAGTTTGAGATTTTGTGTTGTTGGTGTGGGTGCAGTTTGTTGTTTGTTTTGTTTTGTTTGGCATCTGTTTGAGGCTTGCAACCGTTCAGCATTTTATGCAGTCTTCAAGCCTCCATAAGGTGGCAGTGTAGCACATACTTTCCTGTGGAAGGCATGTTTAGCATCTGTCAGGTATGGATATGGAGGTTGAGAGCTGGGTAAATTCCATGATAGAGAACTAGGAAGGTGTTTTCTTGGTTGCTGTAAGATCTTATTTGGGTGTCACAGATTCCAGTTCTTATTTATCCACCTCCTGTTGTCTTAGATATTGCCTGCATCGCCTAAGTACAGAGAGACAGCTATTGCCTGTGTGGGTAATACTTGAATATTTTTGTTTTGTTTTTTTCCATGCTTGTCAAGTGGTTTTTATAACTGTTGTATGACCTATCCACAGTGTATCCCTTACTCTGTGCTGCTGAAGGACCTGGAGATGAGGAATCTCCGGGAACTAGAGGACCTTATCATTGAAGCTGTCTACACTGACATCATCCAGGGCAAGCTGGATCAGCGAAATCAGCTCCTGGAAGTGGATTTTTGCATTGGCCGTGACATCCGAAAGAAAGATATCAATAATATTGACAAGACCTTGCATGAGTGGTGAGGCTGGGCGATGGAGGGAAGCTTCCAGTATGCCCTTTGTGCCTCTCTTTGCAAAACTGTGACCTTCAGAAGTCAGCCAAGGGTTTGTGGTAGGCCTTGTGGGCAGCCAGGAAAACTGGGACCATAGGATACAGAGACAGAGAGTAGGGTTGCATTTGTAACTACAGCTGTGTGGCATAGGAATAATTCCAGCCTTCCTCGTGTCTGGGTTATAAAACTGACTTTAAATGCAGCAGGGCTGTTTAACAGTGGCCTATAAACCATTCATGTGGAGATGCAGGTAGACTCTCTGCATCCTAACTGTGTGGCACTAAGTATGTACTTTCCAGACAAACTCAGTTTGTAAGTTCAGGAAGTTAGTGTTTTTCAGTAACTTGTGAAGCTAGTTAGAGCTGGTGACATTGTAAGGGATATATCAGTGAATGGGCCTTTGTGATTTGGAACACAAATGCATAGACTATTTGACAATTGTCTGAGTATATAAAGAATAGGCAACTGAGTATGGTAGTCCATGCCTATAATCCCAGCCCTCAGCATCCTGAAGCAGAAGGATTATGAGTTGGAGGCCAGTTGGAGAATCTAGTTTTCAACTGATCCCCTGCCTCCAAAAAGTAAATGAATTTAGGAAAAGAACTGGGACTTATTTCAGTGGAATTTGATATTTGCAAAAGTGATTACATGTTCTATAAGGATTTGCTGTGGGATTTAAATGATTTGGAACTTATGAAGCCAGAGCTTCTTAGGGAGCCATGAGGAAGTTTTGAGGGAGAGAGCATTATTGGAAGTGCGGAGAGTGTCCCAAATAGGCTCAAGGCATGCTGTATGTCATTAGGCAGAGTGAACAACTTTATGCTGGGAGGTAGGGAAACTTGTTTTTATTTATTTATTTATTTTTGGTGGGGAGGGGGTGGCAGGGACTTGTTCTGTAGCCCAGCATTGCCTGGGACTATGGATCCCAGGTTTGTGGGATACGTGGTTTAAATCTAGTTTAAGGTTTGCCCTAAACTCTGTCTCTGCCTCCCAAGTGCAGCCACACCCAGGTTTTTTTTTTTTTTTTAAAGATTTATTTATTGGTGGTACATGCCTTTAGTTCCTCAGAAGGTAGAGGCAGGCAGATCTCTGAGTTGGAAGCCAGCCTTGTCTACAGAATGAGTTCCAGAATAGCCAGAGCTATGCAGAGAAACCCTGTCTCAGGACTAAAATAAAAAAAAAAGAATGCATTTATTTTTATAAGTGTCTTCCTTTCATGTGTAGAAGTGCACTGTGCGTTTATCTAATGCCTGCAGAGGTCAGAAGAGGGCATCAGATTGGATCCCTGGAACTGGAGTAATGGATGCTTGTGAGCTTGTGCATGGATGCTGGGAACTGAACTTAGATCCTCTGTAAGAGCAACAAGTGTCCTAACCATTGAGCTATCACTTCAGCCACTAAAAGAGACTCTCAGAATTCCTATTCAAGTGTTAGAGGTAAATTATAAACCCTGAGACATAAGTACACATATGGGAAAATGTTGGACCACATGAATAGTAGTAGGCAGTATGTGAATATTCATTATATTACATTTGTAAAACTATTTCTGAGAAAGGATCTCAGTTTGTAGACCTGGTTGGTGTTGACCAATTTAACTCAGAAATCTGTCTGCCTCTGCCTCTGTTTCCTGAGTGCTGGGATTAAGGGTTGTGTCACCAAGCCCAGACCGGTTTTTAAAATTTTTAAAGAAAAAGTGGGAAAATAAAAGTGAGAAGTTGTTGGTTACTAGAAAATAGCTTCAAATTCTGAAGCAAAAGGCAATCTCTAAAATAGTATGCTTTTAGAAAATGTATTTTTTCTGTTGTAGAGAGGGAGCAGTCAGTGTTACCTGTAAAGTTTGTCCCTCCTTCAGTCTTAGTCTGTACAGCCGTTTCTTCTGGGCTGCCAAGACTGGAAACTGGAGCTGTATTCCAAGAAACTGCCCCAAGTCACTGTATCTGTGAACTTGTCTGGAAGGAGGAAGGGACTGGGGGCAGCCATTTGGCTTCAGTGCCATTTATGCCAGGGTGTTTCCATTGCAGGTGTGATGGCTGTGAGGCAGTTCTGTTGGGCATTGAACAGCAAGTTCCTGAGAGCCAACCAGTACAAAGAGAACCACCACCGGACTCAGCAGCAGGTGGAGGCAGAGGTAAAGAGAGGGGACATTTGTTCTTCTCTTTAGGGTGTGCCTGGATATTACTGTGCAGTGTTTTTGTTTTTGTCGTGTGCTTTTGTGTGAATGCAACAAATAGCCCCTAAATATGCCTTGGGTTTGGTACTGGAATGTAGGGGTTTAGGCAGAGATTATAGGAAGTGTAAATCTCCAGTGTGCGACACTTTGCAGCTACTAGGAAGAGAAATGTTGGAGATGTGCTTTTAAAGATGGATAGATAGAGCTGGAGAGCTGGCTCAGCAGTTAAGTGGATTCACTGCCCTTGCAGGACCTAGGTTTGGCTCTCAGGACCCACATGGCAGCTCATCACCTGAAACTCTAGTTCCAGGGGACCCAATGCCTTCTTCTGGCCTCCGTGGCTCTCACATGTACACAGATGTACGCTCAGGCACACTCACATACACATAAAATAAAATTAATTATTAAAAAATATTGAAATTTGAAAGAAATGTGAGGAAAGGGCAAGTTCATACCAGTTAAAATAACCTATTAAAGTACTAGCTTTTCTTTTCTTTTCTTTTCTTTTTCTTTTTTTTTTTGAAACAGGGTTTTTTTTGTGTAGTCCTGGCTGTCCTGGAACTTGCTTTGTAGACTAGGTTGGCCTAGAACTCACAGAGATCTGCCTGCTTCTACTTCTGCTTCCCCCAGTGCTGGAATTAAAGGCATGTGACACCACTACCTGGCCCTAAGTACTAATTTTTTTAAAAAAATTAATTAATTTTTTTAAATTTTATTTTACAAACCCATTCCAGTTCCCCCTCCTCCTTTCCTCCTATCTTTCCCTCCTCAGAGAGTCAACAAAGTCTGTCATATTGTGTTGAGTCAGGACCAAGGCCCCTCCCCTCTGTATCTAGGCTGAGCAAGGTATAGGGAATGGGCTCCACAAAGCATTTGATGCACTAGGGATAAATCCTGGCTCCATAAGTACTAGCTATCTAGTAAACTTGTAGATCAATGTAGGACAGAGGGCAAAGCATGGAGCCTTGTTGATGGCTCTTATCATCCCCTGGCTGAGCCATGCTTCAGCTTATGGCATCCTTACCTGAACTCATGTCTACAAAGAGCAAAGGGGATTCTGTCATAACCTCCTGTGGTGTTGCTTCTCTTATGCTCGACTCAGAGTTATAACCATTTTCTCAACTGAGTAGGTGAGATATATTTTTTCCATTTGTCCTTAAATTACATTTCTGGTGAGTTGTGCTTTCTAGAGCCTCCCTCCGAGTTCAGTCACCTTATGACAAACTGCCTAAGAATTCTCTCCTGTTAGCCCCTTTATAGAAATAACATTATTTAAATATAGTTCGGCGTACCTGGGGGAGACATGACACAGTAGTAGCATTCCAAGGCCTTGCAGTGTCTCTGAGCAGGCATCTGGAGGGAGAAGAGTCATGGCTGGCAACACCACAAAGCCCCTCTTCATTACATTTGCCTTTGGAATCTATTTTTCTTTATATTTGAATGTGCCTGTGTATGGTGTTCTGTAGAATGTTAATATATAGCTATTGTTGCATATTTACAAAATAGGCTGTGTTCCCCTCACATAGGTAATAGAACAAGAGTAAGTGCTATTTTTTTATTGTGTAGAAAATCCCTCAGGAGTTAAGTTGTTAGAGTGTGCTAAATCCATGCCTCCTGGGTACCAAATAGAGAGTAATTCTCACCATCGCTCACATCTCCATAGCATTTTCTGTGGGCTTGATTTCTGTTTGCTTTTTTTTGCTTTTGCTTGCTTTTTAAAATTCATTCCAGGCTGGCTTCAAGCTTCCTATCCTCCTGACTTAGCCTCTGGAGTACTGGGACTATAGTTACCTGTCAACACAACTATCTCCCACACCTGCCCCAAGCTCTCCCCCCTTCCCACACACCCAAAAAAAGCAATTTCCTCCCCTGGGGAGCTCTTTTGTCTCTTTCTTGTCTTTAGGGTCTCTGGTCTCTGATCTCTGAAACTATCAGGCTACAATTTGTTAACAGGTGCGCCCCACTGAGAAATTCCTGATGCCTGCCTGTGCTTTGAAAAGCTCTATGAACTCTAGGTTTCCCAGGTGTGGGTGGGACAGAGGTAGCCTCTAAACCAGTCCCCCGAGGAAGGAAACCTGAAAGATTCAGGCCAAAGAAGACACAAATGTGGGAGTACTTGTTATCAAATGGGATCAAAAGATGATGGTACAGACGACTGGGTACCTTAAAGTCTTTGAGGCTAAAATGGGTTTAGCTGGTAGCCCTGCCTGGTAGCCATTCTTGAGTCCTGGATATGAGTATCCACACTCAGTCCAGTACTGCTGGCAGAAACATTAGTTGTCATTGTCTTTCTATCTGCCACCCATTTTCTCCCTTTGTGTGTATATTTGTGGGTACAGGTGCACAGCACACCACCTCAGGTGTCATTCCTGGGTACTCTCCTACTTTTTTTTTGGAAACTGAGTCTCTCATTAGCCTGGAAATCTCCAAGTAAGGCCAGGCTGACTGGTCAGTGAGGACCAGGGATCTGTCTCTGCCACCTGAGCACTGGGATGGTAAATGTCTTCTATTATGCTTGGTATTTTGTGTATGGGTTAATAATTCAGGTCTTTGTGCTTGCAAAGTGAGCACTTTACTTGACATGTGCCTTAGCCTATTAGGTGGATTTTTAAAAAGCAGAGTTGTGATTTTTATTAATTAAAAGACTATCTTTTAGACATGGTCTCACTATGTAGTTCTGGCTAGCCTAGAATTCACTATGTACATTAGGCTGGCCTTGAACTCACATAGAACTGCCTACCCTCATATCCCCATTATTAGGATTAAAGGCATGTGCCATCATGTCTGGCCAAAGACATTTAAAAAAGATTTCACTTTTATTTATGTGTCTATCGTGTGTCTGTATGAGTGTATACCACATGTATTTGGGTACCTGAGGAGGCCAGAAGAGGTTGTCGGATCCCTTGCAACTATGGGAGGTTATGAGTTGCCAGATGTGGACGCTGGGAACTGGACTAGATCCTTTGCAAGAGCAACAAGTGCTCTTACCTGTTGAGCTATCTCTTCAGCCTCAATCTGAAAAAACTTTTGAACATCAGTAAAATGTATCCCCAAATCCTGAAAAGCACTGAAATCTGAGACACCCCAGGTTTGAGTCAACCTACATAGTAATACTGATTCATTATGTAACTTGCATCCATTTTGATCTGGAAAGCATACTCTAAGATGTTCCCACAGTGTGCGAAGGTAAATAGAAGGCTGTTTATACTAGTACCAAACACTAATTCTTAAACTAGAAACAGTGGACTGGGGAGATGGCTCGGCAGGTAAGGATGCTTGTTGTTCTTCCAGAGGACTCAAGTTTAGTTCACAGCACCATGGGTGACTCACAGCCCCCTGTAACTCCAGCTCCAGGGGAACTGATGCCCTCTTCTAGCCTCTGGGGCCAGCTTCCCAGGTCCTAGCTCCACCCATGTTTCTGCTGAACTCATTTCCATCTCATCTATGAGCAGCCTGTTTATCTTCCCCTGGTTCTCTGAATATCATTTTAGATTGTGTTGCAGAGGATCTGAGCTGCTTCTCTGGGTGGCCCTTATAGTGAGAACAGGACTTGGTGAGTTTCAGGTGTATATAGGCAGGTCACACAAGTTTTGTTTCTCCTTCCAGGTTAGTAACATCAAGAAGACACTCAAAGCAACAGCATCCTCCTCAGCTCAGGAAATGGAACAGCAGCTGGCTGAGCGAGAGTGTCCCCCTCATACTGAGCAGAGGCAGCCCACTAAGAAGATGTCCAAAGTGAAAGGTCTGGTCTCCAGCCGCCACTAGGGCTGGCTGGGGCAGCTGGCACTCACCAGGCCTGGGTCAGGTGGGGAGGGGACACCCAGGGCCTATTCCTCCCCTCTCTACCTGCAGTGAGTTCCAGACCTGCCCACCCTCACCAGTACCTCCCCATCCATTGGTACCATTGTGGAAAATGATTGCTCCTCCTCCTTCACCTCCCTTCCCTAGTTGTTCCCTTCAGACTCAGGGGCTCAACGGATGCCATCCTCACAGGGTCCGACACTGCCCAGCTTCCCTCCAGGGGTTCCTGTCTCTGTGTGTGGGCTACCTCCCTCCCAGTCGTTGTTTTGCTCCGTGTCATTTTGTCAGGCTGGTTCTGAGCTGGAGGCAGTTTATCCAGCCCTGAGGGATGACTGTGGAGGAGGCTTCTCTCTGAGTGAAGAGGAGGCCTTGCTTCTCCAGCCCCATGTACCACAGTACCCACAATGGTGCAAGTGTCTAGTCAGGTAGCCACAGTGTTCCCCTCTCCTGCCTTACTCCTGTTGGCAGCGCCAGTTCAGGCTGTGGAGGGATGTGGTGCTGGGCTCTGTTTACTAAACCTTTGGGTTTTCAGCCTCCTAAGCCCAGCCAGGATCTCTCATCAAGTTGGGAGCACTGGGCTGACTAACCTCTGGTGTCTGATACAAGTGGAGGGTGCTTGGGGTCTGTGGGTAGCAGAAGGTGTTTCTCCGGGCTTGTCCTCAGCTGGCCACTCCTCCTGCTGTCTTTGACTGCTCAGCACTTAGGCCCAGTTGCCCACTGGGATTGTCTGCCAACATTTGCTCTCCTGAGATCTTTCATGCCTCCTGGCTGCCCTTGGGATAGGAATGGCGATGCCGAAGCCCCTCAGACTGGTGAATGACCATTGCTGCTTCTTTCTCCTTCCTTCCCGCCCCTCCTTGGCTGGTGACCTGAGTCCTCTAATGACATCATACTCCTGGCCAGAGAAAAGGACTTGACTAGACTTTCTGAACTTGAACAGTTTCAGGTTATATTTTAATTTTTTTTTTTTTTTGTACAGGTTGATTCTAATACATTTCAACATGCTTTTTTCTCCTTTTGTGTCAATATTTGTTATAGTCCAATCGCCGGGGATTTCTCACCTGGTTCAAGTGTATGTGTGTGTGTGTGTGTGTGTGTGTGTGTGAGTGAGTGTGTGTGTGTGTTTCATTTTGTTTTCCTAAGAGGAGGTGGAGGCCCTGAACTGATTTATACTTCATTGAGGAAAAAGCACATTTTAGAAAAAGAAAAAAGAACAAAAGTGTAGATTTGGCATACGTGACTGTGGATTATGGGGTTGTAAGGGTGGGTTAGGAGAGCGGTAATTTGGGTGGTTTAGAGAATATGACTCTGTTTTTTAGTAGCATGGTTAAAAAGTGGATTGATCCAGTGTTAAAAGTATTGTTTTCCTTTTTTATGCTGGTCCATGTGCTGATATAACACTATGCCTAACCAGAAGTTAAGTTTGATTCCTAAAGTGTATCTGGTGAATCCCCAGAACACATCTCTGTAGGAGAGGGGTCCTATTCTTAAATAAATGTGGCACTCCCTGCATCCCATATCCTCACTGGAAATTCATTACTTAGGTCTTGGATGCATCCTGTGGATGAAACCCATCCACACTGATTTCTCCACCAGATCCTTTTGGGTATTTGTATTATAATGGAATATATTTTGAGCAAGTTTTGGGAAACATGTACTTCTCAAGAACTCTAAGAGATGCAGAACATCTCCTTGCTTTTCATAGATTTATTTTCCCCATTACTTTTTCTAGACCCCAGGCAAGGATACACTGTTAGCAAGCTACTATTCATCCTCCTCCTGGCCCCCACTGGCAGGTCTATTGGGGAATGGGTTTTGTTTATTTTTAATTTAATTTTAAAACTTTTTTTTCTTTTTTTTTTTTTTTTTTGAGACAAGGTTTCTCTGTATTGCTTTGGAACCTGTCCTGGAACTCGCTTTGTAGACCAGGCTGGCCTTGAACTCACAGAGATCTGCCTGCCTCTGCCTCCTGAGTGCTGGGACTAAACTTGTGCACCACTGTTGCCCGGCTTAAAAACATTTTTTGACAGGGTTTCTCTGTGTAGCCTTGGCTGTCATGGATCTCGCTCTGTAGACCAGGCTGTCCTGGAACTCAGAGATCCGCCTGCCTCTGGGATTAAAGGCACTCACCACCACCACCGCTGCCGCTGCCACTGGGCAGGAAGTGGGGTTTGTATGCCACAGGTTTGGCAGTCCATCACTCTAAGGATCACCTTCCCAGCTTGCTGCTTCCTGTAAGTGATGCTGATGACAATACACTGGTAAAGTTCTGAGAGAACGTCCCCACTTCCAGTCAGTCCTTTTCCAATCTTTTGAGATCAGTAACAGTGTTATTGCTGTTATCTTCAGTTTACATTAGTGGAACTCAAATATTCAAAGGGTCCTGGAGGTAAGTGACAAAAAAGAGGACCAGATGCTAAACTTCATGTGTCCCACCATTATCTTAGTGTGACATTCCAGTTTAAAATCTGCCCTCCAGCTGACCATTGGTGCTGCCCCTGTCTTGCTTGTTATTCTCCGATGACTTGTCTTTTAACTGACAACCGCCTGAGACTCCAGAGTTTTATTTTAAAGCAGACAGTAGTTGTTTGAGTTTTACTGAAGGACTGGACCCATCATTCTTCCTACGGTATTTGAGTGTCAGGTATAGCAGCCTTTAGGCAATTTGGTTGCACCGTCGTCTTCTGAGGGTTCTTTGTATAGCCACGAGTGCTGGTCTCCTTTATAAACTTTTTACTAGAAACTTGTAGTTGTGTTTGGAATATCCCTTTATATCCCCCTTAGAGCATTTAGTGGCTTTAGCAAGTAAGTTTATTTAGAGTGAGACATCTGCCGAGCAAACCATTCTCCAGTTGTGGTTCAGGTTAAACTGAGTTCATAGAAATACACCAACACCAGGCACATCCACAGACCTCAGCTACAAAGTTAGCCCTTCACCCATTCTGTCTCCTTTCTTTACCAAATAACTTTCAGATGTGACTTAAGGTAGAATTTGTCCTCCTCATATTTCATCCAGTGTTTCTTAGGCAAGAGCTGATACTTCATGATCAGGCCCAGGGCTGTCTTAATGTGAAACATTTCAGTCATTACAAAGGGTTTCAGGAAGCAATTTTGTAACTTCTTTCATATCTTCCATCTTGTATATCATATGATCTTTAATTAACTTAATGAGTCTTACAGCATTATAATACCATTTTCTCATACCAACCATCCACTGGCTGGCTGCAGCAACAGCAAGCCTATCTACCATTTTTTTACCTCATTAAGTAGATTTTTTGAAACAGGGTCTTGTTGTGTAGCCTAGGCTGGCTTCTTAACTCACCGTCCTCCTGCCTCAGCTTCCTGTGCAAGTACGGGGGTTGTAGTTGTGTACCACCATGCCCAGGTATAAGTGAATACATTTGTATTTATTAAGTAGGTTGTCTTTGACTTGAGCTTGCAACACTAGCAAAGCTAATGCAGTGTTCATTTTCAAATTGACCCCTACCGTGAGAGATGAGAGAAATCGCTGTCCTCGATTGAGAATGAAGCTGACAATGGAGTAAGTCATGGAGCAGCAAGATGAGGGAGGCCCACTCCTGAGACCCAGCATGCTCACCCTTGCTTTCTTTCCAGCTCTTCTTGCTATGAGCCAAAACAGAGGTCATCGTCCCTCCATCCTCTTCAACCTTGGCTAGGTCTGCAGAGCTGTTGCGCTATCATGCAGTGCCGTTAGCTTGTTCTTGTTTCCTAAGGCTCTTAGAAATTTCACTGGGAATTGAACCCAGGTCCTCTAGAAGAGCAGCCAGTGCTTTTAATTGGTGAGTCATCTTTCCAGACCTGTTTTCCACAATTTTCTGACAGTGACAGTGGTTTTTTCTATCATACTTGTCTCATTGTCAATGGATAACAAGACTTCTACTTTGTTGGGAAAGCAGGAAACATTAGCTAGGAAACCCAGCTTTTCTTCCAACTGTAAATGCAGCTGTAGCCTGCCTCCTTTGTTCTCACTGTGATGAGCGGTTCTGTATGGGTTCATTTTCAACCCCTGGGCCGTTTTTTTAATCCACCCCACCATTTCTTGCATTTTTACATATTCCATCTTCAAGTGGCCATATGTGACAAAGAATCCCAGGAAATCCTTTCTGAACCCATTGTCCCTTTTTAGCCACAAACTTTTTCTATTTTAACAACTAGGCTTCTTGACTCTTGTCTTTTTCTGTCTCTGCTTCCTCCTCACTGCACCTGCCTCTGCACATCCTCCTCCTCCTCACTGCACCTGCCTCTGCACATCCTCCTCCTCCTCACTGCACCTGCCTCTGCACATCCTCCTCCTCCTCACTGCACCTGCCTCTGCACATCCTCCTCCTCCTCACTGCACCTGCCTCTGCACATCCTCTTTCCTCCTCCTCCCATCTTTTTGGTCAGGGTACCATTGACCTCCCGCTTTCTGACAGTGTCAGCCTTTTAGTTTTAAATCTTTACGTGAGTTCGCACTGGTGAACCCACTTACTCTGGTGCTCTCTCAATTTTCACAGCACTAACATCTCCAGGCCTTTCCTGTGTTTCTCTGCCTGCTCTAAATTTCTTCAGGGATGTTAGTTACTTTCTGTTGCAATGACAAAATAACCTATGGTCCTTGGTCTCCATTGTTTCTGGACGCTGGTGGGGTAGAGCATCATGCTGGAACTGAATTGCTTACTTGTAGGCAACTATGAAGAAAGTGAGAGCAAGGGGCCTAGGACAAGATCCCCGCCAGTCAGGTCCCATCTCCTAGCATTTCCCCCATCCTGGTATCTCCCCCATCATGGACCAAACTACATGCCTTTGAGGTGGAGAGGACATTACAAATCCCAGCTCTGACAAGAAGCATCTTCTTTGGAGTCCAGTCGTATGTGCTTGCTAGGAGCCGTTGTGACCATATTTTGCTTTTTATGTGTTCTCCATAGGTTGTGAGATTGTGACTCACTGCTGTGGCTCCAGTCTCACTTTTCCCTCCCTCCCTCTCTCCCTCCCTCCCTGTTTTTTTTGTTTTGTTTTGTTTTTTTGTTTTTGTTTTCTGAGACTGAGTTTCTCTGTAGCTTTGGAGCCTGCCCTGGAACTAGCTGTGTAGACCAAGCTGGCCTTGAACTCACAGAGATCCAGCTGCCTCTGCTTCCCGAGTGCTGGGATTAAAGGCATGTGCCACCAACACACAGCTATGCCACCAGTGCCCAGTTAGTTTCACTTTTAATACCCAAGTCTCCATCTGTGGCTATTCAGTGTGAAAAGCACAGCCAGTTGGCCATTTCCCAGATCTGTTGTCAATAAATGATGTTCACCATCCAAGTTTCTTCTGGTTGCCATAACAAAAGACTTCAGGCCATGTGTTTTAAACAACAGAAATTAATTTTCTCACAGCTCTGGAGTTGCAAGTCCAAGGTCAGTGTGTTGGCAGGGTTGGTTTCTCCTGAGGCCTGCCTCCTTCATGTGCAGACACTTGTCCTCAGGTCTTCTCTGTCCTCACAGGACCTTTTCTCTGTGTATACAGACTGAGTCCTACCCTCAAGATCTCACTGAACTTTTGCCTCCTTAAAAGTCCCATTTTAACCCATTCACTGAAGTGTAGGTCTTCAAAAATTTAGACACAGTATAATAGATAGTCATTAGCTGGGAGAATTCGAGATTCATTCTATTGTGTCCTTATACTATATTTGACTTGACATACTGACTTGTATTCTTTTTTTTAAAAGATTTATTTATTTATTTATTTGTGTAGTGTTCTGCCTGTATGTTTGCCTGCAGGCCAGAAGAGGGCACCAGATCTCATTACAGATGGTTGTGAACCACCATGTGGTTGCTGGGTATTGAACTCAGGACCTCTGTAAGAGTAGTCAATGCTCCTAACCATTGAGCCATCTCTCCAGCCAGTGACTTGTATTCTTAATGTTTCAACTAAACCTTTTCCTATCTCCCTTGCCACTTCAAGCATTTGAAAGTTGGCTAATTAAACACCTTTTTGGGTACACATTACTATTTTTAGGAATACAGCTGAA